GAAATAAGATAATTATAGTGAGCCCTAACCAAACACTTGTAGTATCCTTATAAAAAGGAAACATTTGGACATAGACATAAACACATACAGGGAGAAAGGCCTGGGAAGACGAAGGTAGAGATCGGGGTGATGCTTCCACAAGCCAAAGATTGCCAGCAAACAACCAGAATCTATGTTAGGGCATGGAACAGATTCTCCCTCATAGCCCTCACACAAAACCAACCCTGTCAATACCTCTATCTTGGACTTCCAGCCTTCAGAACACAGAGACAATGTTTCTGTTGTTTAGGTCACCAGCGTTTTGTGGTACTTTGTCAGGGCAGCATTAGCTAACTAACACAAGTAAAATCAGGCAGCAAGCAGACTCCTCATTTTAAAAGGACTGAAAAGACCTAGAAAATAAGTAGCATGACACAAACCTGACTAAATCTCTCTCTAGATTCTCTCTAGATGTGAGTCTCCTACTTCCACCCAGTGGGGTCATCAATGATATAGTTTATACTCATGTCTATTTAAAAAAACCTTATACTGAATTTGGCCAAGGTTACTGTCTACAGAGAAACTTGGACTTAACTTATTCCCATTGTGTGTGTATGTGTGTGTGTGAGTGTACCCATGCACCTAGTGGGAGAAGGAGGCCTAGGCATCTGTAAAAACTCATTATAAATGACTGAAAACTCCTTGAAAAAATGCCTTGGCAGAGATGCCAGTTGTTGACCTTCATGAGAACTATTATCTCAACAGGCAACAAATTCAAAACCCTGTCTGAGCAGGATGTGTCTGGTGCCTCAAGATTCACAGGGTGTGTGCATTTCCTTGGCTGGAAGCTACAGTAGATAGTGGCTGCTCTGTAAAGGTATACCACCAATTTAATCTTTCACAGAGCTACTCATTTTAGACTGTTTTGATTTTTTTTTTTTTTTTAGTGGAATGTCCTCTGCTTCCCTATTACAATGAAAAACTTAATTGGGAGCAAATTTTTCATATAATTAAACACACACCCACAAAAGTAAACTGGGAAGCCCTCGATCATGTTTGAGTGGCATTTTTCAAGCTTTGTTACAAAGATCTTTCAACTCCATTTCCCATCCTTCAACCTCCACCCATTTCACTCAAGGCACTAAAAATTGGCATCTACAAAGAAATTCCAGAAGCCTGAGCATTTTATTAGCAAAGGGAAATCCCAACCTTTTTGGCCTCATTTCTCATGATGACAGCTCATTTTTCCATGTGGAACTACATACTAGTTGCTGCAAATATTTAAAGAGGTAAAGAGGCCACTTTCAAACTATAATCATAAAAGATATAAATAATGATGATTTAGAACTCTGTGCTTGTTTTATAAGCATAAAAGTCAGTCTACCCATTTTTAAAATGAGAATGAAAACTTTATAGTGTTCTTAGTGAAATACTCAAAGCCACAGGCACTCTCCAGGGCTCCTGAAGTATTACTAATTTTGCATGTGAAGGGTCATTTTGGACACTAAGTCTGCCTACTGTGTTGCAGGCTGACTTCCTGGCATTGATCTTTCCCTTACCCCCAACCATACTTCAGAATCCTACCTAGCCTGAAGGCATGTATGAAGCCCCACCTCCTTAAAACTCTCCAAATTCTCCCATTTCCAGTGATTCATCCCTCTGAAAATGTATAGCATTTTTCACCAGGCTCCACAACTTAATCCATCATCTTAGTGATATCATCTTAAAGACACCTTTAGTATCTAATTTCTATACCATTTGCATTTTTTCTTAGTTATTTCTTACATGTTTTAATCTCTTCCCACCTAGGTTTATCAACTTCCTAAAGACAAGAACCATATTTTACATTTCTGTTGTATCCCTTCCCGTATCTAACCCAAGTTTAAGGACTCTCAAAACAAAGTTAGAAATGTAAAATGAAAAAGGTCATCACTACAGAAGTTTCATACTTCCCTTTAACCTCTATAGGTTACCTGCAGGGTCCCAAATATATTTAAGGATCTAAGCAATGGACCGTGGAAACCTACATACTTTCTTTCTATGACAATGACATTGTCTAACTGCAGCCCACAGAATCAAGCTTACTCCCCCACTACACTTAGATACACCTGCACTTGACATGGGGCCAATCTTCTAAGTCAAGTTTTCCAAAAAGGACACTCCCATTAACTTTCTACCCACATGATGGTCCCCAGGGAGGCCCCTTTGAGTCACTTTTGTCCTTTGTTTATTCCTTGGTTTGGCTGGCAATGGCCACACACTGATCTGGCTGCAGACCTCCCAGACAGAGGCTGGCTGAAATGTGATCACACCAGTAGGTCACCTGTCTTCTCTTTATGCAAGCTCAAGAACCTGATCTGCTATCCTCTTCTTCCTACTCCCTAGAAAGACAAAGAGCCCTTTCTTCCCCCTTCTCCCTCACACATCGACAAGTAGGAAAATTTGATGGCTGATGGTATATATACAGTACTTTGAGTAAGACTACTCGCCTCAGGTTAAAAAAAAAGATTCTAGTTTGGGTCACTTAACTGAACATAAACATTTGTAAACTTGTTTTTCTTGTAACAAGTAATACATATCTATGCATGTACATATACCTAAAGTTCAAACCACAAGGCATACACTGAAAAGCAAGCTTCCCTCCCCCACTCTCTCCCAATTCTTGGTTTCCCTCCTTAGCAGTAGTGTTACCAGATGATTCTCTCCTGCAGACCATATAATGTTTCTAATCCTATCTTGTACATGAGTTTCTAACTAGGAGAAAGGAAACAATTTTTACCAGGCATCTCCTGAACACCAGGCCCTAAGATGCATATTTGAGATCTATTAGCGCATTTAACCTTCACACCAAATTTGTGAAGCTAATATGATTATTTTCTTTACTTTTCAGGTAAGAAACCGAAAAAAGACTTGTGAAGTTCAGAGTCGCTTTTCCAACCTGCTCCCTAGATTGCCCAGTTTCATAAAACAGAATCTCCATCAATAGTTTCTCTTTTGGGAAACATGGGCTCTCAAATCAGACTACCTTGGCACAAAAACTGGTTTTACAGCTTAGAGCTCTAAGAACCCAAACTAATTTTACAACATGTCCACGGGCCTCAGTTTCTTCATCTGTAAAATGAGCTTCATATTAATACCTGCCAACAAGGTTTATGGCAAGATTAAATGAATTTCACATGAAGAGCCTGGCACAGCTCCTGACATACAGTAAATCGTTCATGATGGTTAGTTATTATTAGCATTATTACCATATGGTTAAATAACAAACTGGGGCTTTAAATGGTTTTCTTTTTTTTGTTTTTATTTCCTCCACTTAGCCATACAGTGATATGGCGTGGGGAAACCATTTGGGATGAATGTGGGAGCCATTTGAAATTGTCTGGCTCCATTATATGGATTTCCACGGCTCTCCTCCCCCGGGTCTGCTTCTCGAATATTTCTTCTTTCAGCATGAACTGCCAAAATAACGGCCTTTTCTGCTGCCAAGTCCCAGAAGCTTTTACTAGTGTTATTACTGTGTTTTTTTTTTTTAAATCATGGAAACATTTCAGTTTCTTTAAAAAACTAGATTCCAGCAACACCCTCCCTCCTGCCACCAGTTTTTAATTTTTAAACCAAAAGTTAATGTTCCTCTGTACCTCTAGTTCATATATATGGAACTCTAGACTGATGACATTTCAAAAAATAATTTTGACTTATGTAAATGAGAGTTATCCAAATTCCCTTGGAATGAGAAAAAGACATTTATCAACCTGATCACACAATCTACAAACCCATTTCCATTGAACTGGGCAACATTTTCCATTAATTGCCTTTTCCTCCTTAACTGAAAGCCAACAGAGATATGTAGGCTGTGATATCATATGGTCAGCAGATGAGGAGGCTGAAGGAGGTTTCTTAGAAGTCAGTTGACCAGGGCTCTCAACCTGGTCAATGGTATGACTTTGACCAAGTCACTTCACACTGAGTTTTAGTTAATGTACTTAAAGAATGAGAAAGGGAGACTGATCTTTTCCTAAGAACCCTCTCCAGCTCTCTAAGTGGGCCAATATTTTATAATCATCCCATAACCATCTCTTTTGGCCTGGGCTTTATCAGGGCAGTGAGTTACATGTCAAGATGCAGCCTCAGGAGACAAGCTTCAGCCAAAAGTAGGTGTGTGTATGATATGCTACCCATAAAAGACACAGCCTCCTTGCAAAAATGCAGCTGTGCCCTGCTTTCAAAATATAATTCATGACAAGCAATAAAATCCAGGTTCACCTTTAATTACTTCATGTGAAATGATATCTGAGCAGCCCATTTTGAGGGTGACATATCGTGGCTTTCATCTAATACCTTTCCATGAATTGCTCCCAGCAAGACTGGGATCCCAGTAAGGTTTATGAGGTGACCTTTTGTTACAATGTTATTGTGTATAGTCCCTCTGCTATGTTATTCTTCTCCATTTTCCACCCTGAGAGACTTTGTTTCATAATTCTGACATCATAACTGGTCCCTCCAATCCAAAGTCTTTTATGATGGACAACAAATGAGTAAGATCTCCAGGAATTCAGAGGGATTAAAGGTACAAGCAGCAATAGACATTGTTGTTTTGCCACAAAAGCCTGGAGAGTTGAACAAGCTTCCTAAAGCCAAAGATGAACCGTGCTAACACGTCATTCCTTAACCACACTCATGAGACCAGCTTATTCTAAAAACGACATTCTGAATCAGGATTTTGGCAACTTTAGAGATGCCGAGGTTTTTACTGATTCTTTAAAATGCTTAATTTGACTGTTTCTTTCTCTGCAAGGCACAGACTCTCAAAAATGTTTATATGTTACTTTTGAAAGCTATACACACAAACAGCAAGGAGGAGCTTGCCATTCATAGAGGCCATCCTGAGCTGAGGCCAAGAGTGCGTCCAGTATCTGTAGTTTATTAACCCAGCAGTGCCTTATCAAGGTAGGAGGGGGAGTGTCTCTGCAGCTCTGCAGAACAGAGGGGAACAGCCAGACTATGAGTCATAGCATACTTACATCACTCTTCCTAAACTTCGCTTTCAAGCTCTTCATGTTTAGTCCATTCAGCCTTCCAAAGCTCTAGAGGACAATTTTCAACACCTGAGTAGTGAAAGACAGAAGAAAAGCATGTAGGTTTCCAAATAAACACTACAGATATTCTCTTCTGATTGCTTTACAACTTTGGGCCACGGGAAAGAGACAGGACTGGGTTAGGAAGGTGGTCAGAGTTAGCAACTGAAAAACGGTAAAGATTATATGCTATTTCTATTCATGATATATTCCCTAGAAGTTTCTGACATTTTCTTTTTTTTTTTTTTTCAGTAAAATAATGGGTATGTAATGGTTGTTTAATTTTGAAAATCTATATCCTTTACACAAAAACAATATATGCATATAGTCTTTCCAGGAAACATTTGGAAAAGTTAGTTGTTATTAAATTTCTAACACAGAAGAGGGTAAATATAGTACATTTTATTAAAGTTTTTGATTTCTCACTCAGTTGTCATCTGCAAGAAGATGATACCTCCCCATCACATTGCCTTTTGGCTTCTTTGTATGGTATGCTTTGGTTCTGACATTTTCAAGTTAATCAACACTTACATTTTCTTCCTTTTTCCATTTTAATTGACACATAAACATTGTATATACTTGCAATGTACAACGTGATGTTTGAAATACGTACATGCTGTGCAATGGCTAAATCAAGCTAATTAACATATGGAGGACCTCACATATTTATTATTCTACTGTGACAAGAACACAAAATCTACTCTCAGCAATGCTCAAGTATACAATACACTGTGCATAACTATAATAACCATATTGTACAACAGATCTCTTTATCAACTCCTCCTGTCTAACTGAAATGCTATATCTTATGACCAACATCTATCCAATTCCTCCCCCACTCCCAGCTTCTGGTAACTACCATTCTAAACTCTCTGCTTCTGTGAGTTGAACTTGTTTAAGATTTCACATATAAGCCAGTTCCCAAACATTAAAAGTAGAACAAGTTTAAGTGACTACTGTATCTTTAGGCTAAAGTAGGGGTCACAAACCCCCAGGCCACAGACCAGTACAAGGCCTGTTAGGAGCTGGGCCATACAGCTGGAAGTGAGCAGCAGGTGGGCAAGCAAAGCTTAATCTGTATTTACAGCCACTCTCCATTGCTTACATTACTACTTGAGCTCAGTCTTCTGTCAAATCAGCAGCGGCATTAGATTCTCATAGGAGCGTGAACTCTATTGTGAACTGCACAAGCAAGGGATCTAGGTTGCATGCTCCTTATGAGAGTCAAATGCCTGATGATCTGAGGTGGAGCTGCTAGCACTGGCTGCAAATACTGATGAACATTAGCAGTGAGGCTTAACTGCACATCCCCCTGCCCCGGTCCATGGAAAAACTGTCTTCCATGAAACCAGTCCCTGATGCCAAAAAGGTTGGGGACTGTTGTAGCTAAAGTAATTACTCTACACATCATGCATGTTGCAATCGCTCCATCACCTTTTTGTGGATGGCCAAAATAGTGAAAAATAATAAGGAAAACAGTTCGTGTTCCAGATGCCATTCATTCCCTACTTATTTTTCTCAATGTTTGTTTCCCCTCCCTCTACCCTACCAAAAAATGCAGTTAGTGAAAAATGCCAGAAGCAACAAAACCTCCCTCATCAAACAGCTCATTCCTCAGGAAGCTTCTCTAAACAATGCAACTCTCCAGGTCCTTGTGGGACCCAGCAGTTTTGAGTTGGAGCTAAGAGTCTTATGCAAGCAACCACTGAGGGATCTGTGGTCTCTTGGAGATTGAATGTAATTTTTTTAAGTATATATGTACTTTTGAACATGTATGTACTTTTGTACCTGTATACTTAAAGTTTTCACTGGATTCTGTAAGATGGTTGCCACCCTTCAAAAGTCAAGATTACTGATCTAGCAAAAAGTTCTTCATTTTCCAGAAGTAGAAACAGAACCTCAAAGAAGTTAAGAATTGTGCCTATAGTCACAATGCCTGCTTATGATGGGATTCAGAACCAGACCCCAAAGTCTGACTGATAGCTGAATGCTTTTTCCACTACCCTAAAAAAAGTTCTATAACTAAAACCAAAAAGCTGAATTCTGTACTAAAATATGGTATTTATCTTTTTCATTACACCTGGAAATGTACAAAGTATGTAACCTTTGCATGTAGATAAAAATTCAAGTGCATCTGTGTGAAACTTTCTGTCACATAGTAAATGCTCAGTAAATGTAACTTTCAAGTCACTCCTGGCAGAAAGTAAGAACAGGTGAACTTTAATAGTATCAGCCCATTTGAGAATGAAGGAATAGCAATCAAGTGTTCATCACAGCGAACCATGTTTTCAGAAGACTTTCAAGGTTCCTCCATGTTCCTCCAAATCTTTTGTTTTTTGAGTTGGAGTCTCACTCTGTCACCCAGACTGGAGTGCAGTGGCCGCTCCTGGCCACCACAGCCTCGACCTACTGGGCTCCGGCGATCCTTCCACCTCAGCCTTCCAAGTAGCTGGAACTACAGGCGCATGCTACCACGCCCGGCTAATTTTTTGATTTATTGTAGAGATGAGGTCTCGCCAAGTTGCCCAGGTGGGTCTCAAACCCGCAGGCTCAGGCAATCCACTCACCTCAGCCTCCCAAAGTGCTGGGATTACAGGCTGAGCCATCGAGCCTGGCTTTTCCTCCAAATCTTTATCATTCTGGACAAAACCGATTTGAAGAGATGGAGTGGAGAGATTAAGAAACTGAATGCTGTACTCATCCCTCCTTGTGGCTTTGTCATGCCTCCAGAAGTCATCCACCAACTCTCTGGCTTCTAATATGTTTACTTTCATTATTGCTGCTGCCATTAAGCAGGGCTCTCAGATGACTGGTATGAAACCCAGTTATCATAAAGTACTCTGATGGCATGAGTCTGGAGGCCACACCATTACCACAGCCTTGCCATGGTCCCTGTCAATCTTCCCAGGCTCAGGAGGAGTGAAAGAATGCATGTTGCCTTGGAAACTGTACATACTGTAATTACATATCATTAACTGCAAAGCATTTAATCACAGAGAAGGCTGGGTTCATCCCTGAACAGCAAGTGCAAATTCCAGGACAGTATTTCTCAAAGTCAACCCCTAGTTAATCAGAAGGACCTGGGGACAATTTGTCCTCGTCCTAGTCCCTATCCTATAGAAACTGAAACTCAGGGGGCAGGGCCCAGGGACTACCTTGGTTGAATCTTTTGGACACTGAAGTTTGAGAATCTAGAATTGACACAGACAGAACAGAGAACACACTTGTCAGAGAAGAGCTGGTTTATAAGCCAAAGTTGGATTATAAATAGAGTTGGTATATAAGCCAAAGTTGGGTTGATTTTTTCATTTCGTTTTGATGAATCGAAGTAGAAATAATGAGCATTGGAAATAGAAATAATGCTCATTAGAAATAATGAGCATTCCCAAACTGTCATTGGTCTGTGGTTTCTATACGAACTTTACTAGAAAGTAGAAATCATCGTTCGAATTTAATTCCTTCCACCCTCTCGTGGAAGTGCTAATAACCAAGAAGTGAGACCAAATCAACGCAACATTAAAGGGAGAAAAGAGAAGCCAAGGCTAGGTAACCCATAAACTGTGCAGTCCCCAAGGCAGAGTCACTCAAAGCATTCCTTTTTTCATAGAACACAAGGTCTTAGGCAAAAGCAGATAAGATTTTTGTTTGAAGTAGTCATGGGGGTTTCATGGGCATTGTATTTGTCTTTAGTTTTCTTCCTTTTTTTTAAAGCATGCAATGAGAAGTATGCAAACTCTTATTTGTAGAGGATTAATCCAGAAGTTCCCAGGTGAAGATACGAACTGCCGAGTGAGTGTCTTCCTATAGTCCCTGGTTCTGGTTGTGTGCTATCTGCGTGGTCCACGGGCATTAACTCCATGATGATGGAGATAGGTGTCAAAGGGAGAAAAGTCCTGGAAACCCACAGAATAGTAACTCTAGAAACATGAACTATAACTGGGAAGTAAAATTAGTAATAGATCACTGCTTTTCTGGTATTTGTGAAAGGATCTAACACCTGGACATCATGGTTAGTGGGAAGTTTGGAACAATGCCAGGTGCCTTCTGTCTCAGCATCTCCTCTTTTCAAAGATGACCCATGAGTAAGTCAGGGACTTGCCTTCCCTGGGTTAGTTGGGATCTTACAGTTCCAATTCCCAATCCCAAACTTGCAAAACCCAAGCTGGGCTACAGCCCATCTTGAGTAAAGTGACATGTATTCGTTTAGTAAGGCTACACTAATGGCAGTTCTTAGAAAAGCCATTAAATCAAGATGCTTATTTCAAAAGAATTGTATTGAAGCTGAATTGGTGCACAGCAGCCTAGAATGGATATGTATGAAAAAAAACACACATCTGCCAGACACAGTGGCTCACGCCTGCAATCCCAGCACCAAGGATTGCCTGAGCCCACAGGTTCAAGACTAGCCTGAGCAACATGGCGAAAACTTGTCTCTAGAATTAAAAAAAAAAAAATTAGTCAGGTGTGGTGGCACATGCCTGTAGTTCCAGCTATTTTAAAGGCTGAAGCAGAAGGATCACCTGAGTCCAGCGGGGCAAGGCTGTGGTGGCTGTGAGCACACCACTGCACTCCAACCTGGGTGACAGAGTAAGTCTCTGATTCAAAAAAAACGAACAAAAAACTTTTCTATAGGAAAAGTTATCTGAACTAAGTTCTCCCATTACAAGCAGAATAAAGCACACCTATCCACTGAGCAAAAATATCAGTTTACTACCCGCATAATTCAAAGCAAGTCCCTGAAACATGGTACGCATCATTGGTCACCAATCATCACATGATGGACATCACATTGATCAGTGAGGATTGGACAGTGCAGAAATGTACATCCTTGCTTCCATCTCATTTGAAAGACTGGCTGCAACATACAGAGTTTACTGATTCATCTTCCATTTTAAAAATAGTAACTCTCAAGCAGAGCTTAATATGAGATAACATTCTTATCTGATACCATTCTAGTCTGAGTCAAACAATCTTGCTATTAGCCTATAAAGTTTTATCAAGAACAAAAAGTTAGATTTCTTTGAGTATTAAAAAATATCAGAGGTTGGGCACAATGGCTCAAATCTGCAATCCCAGCACTTTGGGAAGCCGAGGTGAGATAACTGCTTGAGCCCGGGAGCTCGAGACCAGCCTGGGCAACTTAGCAAGGCCTCATCTCTATAAAAACTCAAAACATTCGCTGGATGCAGTGGCATGTGTCTGCAGTCTCAGCTATTCAGGAGGTTGAGGTAGGTGGATTTCCTGAGCCCAGGAGAGCAAGGCTATGGTGAGCCATGATTGTGTCACCACATTCCAGCCTAAGGCAACAGAGTGAGATCCCTAACTAAAAACAACAACAACAACAACAAAAAAAAAAAAAACAAGAGCTGGGTATGGCAGCTCATGCCCATCATCCCAGCACTTTGTGAGTCCAAGGAGGGAGGATGACTTGAGGTCAGGAGTTCAAGAGCAGCCTGGACAACATCTTGAGATTCAACTCTACAAAAAAATTAAAAAAACAAAAGTAAAAATTAATGTTAAAAAATAAATTATAGTAGGCATGGACTTTTTCTTTGGACATTTGAACATTTTCTTAGAAAAATGTTCTAAGATTTCTTGTCATAATGGTTGCACAACCTGTGAACATACTAAAAACCATTCAATTATACACTTTGAGGAGGTAAATTGAATGGTATGGGATGTTATATCTCAACACAGCTGTTATTTTTTTAATAGCTTCTTAATAATCTCCATCACCCTCTCCAATCCTTAAAATTAAGAAAATCCAGGTTAGAAACCTCTAGACTGATGAATAAAGAAATTCAAAAGAACAAAGTTTAGCAAGCAATGCCCTCAAAATGCTAAAATGTGGTTGCTCCCAGGAGGTTTTCTTTGTTTAGTTATTTCTCTACCACAACCCACCATTGATCTGATGTGGTCAGAAGAAAGTAATTCCTCTCTTCTGTCTTCAAACTACTCCTCTGCCTACCCACTTCCAACCCCAACACCCACAAATGGCCCAAGAACCATTCCGTTAGGCAGTGGTGCCAGTGTATGCCAGCACATAAGGGGCTGCCTAGAGCCCCACCTAGGTGTTCTGTAATCAGAGTCGAGGCCCAGAAATTCCTCTTTGTAAACATTTCTCAGATTGGATACTCAACTAGATCGGGGAACTACTGTTCTAAACTCAATTAGTGATCTAACACCTCTAATTTACACTTTCATTAAAAATAATCTAGACACACTGAGCAGGTGTATTGATATGATCAATACTTGCAAGCATTGACTACATTGAATCTGTCACAATACTGGTGGTGAGGAAGTGGTGATCGGAGGGGAACCCTCTATACTCTGATTCTACAAAAGCAATCAGCTGGTCACCCATGGCCACTAAGAAACAATATTCACTCACAAAGGCCGATGATAGCTAAAACACAAGAACATTTTTCCTGAATCCCAAGAATATGTTAGCATCCAAAATCCATACCACAGGATTCAAAGGGAGTGGCTTGAGCCAGGCACAGTGGCTCATGCCTGTAATCCCAGTACTTTGGGAGGCTGAAGCGAGAGGATTACTTGAGCTTACAGGTTCGAGACCAGCCTAGACCTTGTTTCCACAATAAATAAATAAACAAATAAGCTGGGTGTGGTGGCACATGCCTGTAGTTCCAGCTATTTGGAAGGCTGAAGTGGAAGGATCGTCTAAGACGAGCAGGTCAGCAGGGCTGAGTTACCACTGCACTCCAGCCCACTCAAAAACAATCAAACAAACAAACAAATTGAGTGGCTTGAAACAATTTCCTCTGAAAAGTCTCAGAACCAGAGGGCCAGAGTAAATAACAATGTCCTCTAGTTAATGCTTCCATCATGGAATATGGGTATATTTCTGTTTTGTTTTTGTTTTTGAAAGCAGGATTTATTGAGAGGACAGAAAAGCTCCCAGGGAAGGGACCTGAGGGGGTTGCCCGAATATGGGGGTATTTCTACACAATCCTGATCCCCACCAGAATACAAACGCACCTCCCTCAGATAGGCTTTAGGATTTATTTCTTCCAAGGTAAAAAGGACACCAGACTTTAAAGCCATACCACGGTGAAAGAAGCACTGAACACACATAAGAAACTAAAATACAGTACTTCCCTCCTTGTCAGTATCTACCTCTTCTTCCTCAAGTGCTTGATTGTTTTCTCAGACAATAATCTCTCTGCAACAACGTGAAATTTTAAACAAAAAACTATAGAAACATTCAATTCTCTCAATCCAACAAAATAAATACATTCTGTGAAAGGTCTCTGGAGACCAACCTTCCCAATAAAAACATCCTTAACAACACAGCACCTCACACCATCCAAACTCCTCCTGGTGGGTAGAAGATGTTTCAATCTTTCCCTCTCAGATGGGGAAATGCCTATGAGCTACATCACTGCTTCTAGAATAAAGAATATAAAATGGAAAGCAAAGTCCAATGGGTCCAGTTTCCTTTTGCCCAATTTACTTTACCCACAGCAGATTTGTTTTGTTCTAGTAAGACAGAATTGTGAACACATACAAACAATTAGGTTTGGGGAACTATGAGCAGGCCCTGTGAACGACTCAAAACTTGACTAAGGGTATTTTCTTTTAAATTATCTTATAACTAGGTGTTACATACAGCAGCAATTCAAAGAGAAGAAATTTTGAAGGGCTGGGAAAAACCAAGTAAGTCTTCCTAACTGGGGAGAACTCCAACTGGCCTCAAAGGAAACACAGAATTCGGGTAGGCTAAGGAGGAGCATTTTGTCCATCTCTCTCACAAAATGAGGCAATTCCTTCTTAGATTTTTCCAGGCAAGAGTCAGACACGTGTCCAATCTCTCTAAGTGATTCTGTCAGCTTCTCTCATGAGCTCAGTAGGTTCTATGGTTTGAATGTGTCCCCTGAAGGCTCATGTATTGAAAATTTAATTGCCAAAGCAACCATATTAAGAGATGGGGCCTTTAAGAGGTGACTTTCATGAAGAGTCCATCCTCAAGAATGGATTGCCGTTGTCACAAAAGTGAGTTCGTTCTCATGAGAGTGAGTTGCTATAAAAGCAAGTTTGGCTTGCTCTTGTGATCTCTTTCACACACACTTGCTCGGCCTTCCCCCCTTCTGCCATGGGATATCTTCTGGCAGATGCCATCACCATGTCCTTGGACTTCCCAGACTCCAGAACCATGGGCTGAATAAACTTCTTTTCTTCATAAATTACCCAGTCAGTGTTATATATTCTGTTATAGCAACATAAAATGGTCTAAGATAGTAGGTATGGTAGTAATAAATGCATAGTTTTCTCAGAAAAAAGATCTTCCCCCCACCTGGCCCACTTACACCTTGGATATGAATGAAGTGTTCAAGAGTCCTACCACCAGTTTTCAGCAAATTTGAAAATTTACATCTGAGACTGCCCACTTACTTTGGAATTGAAGATTTTCAGGGTAGGCTTTTCATTTTGCTTATATTTGGGTCCTAGACATTGGCATATAATCAACAAATGTTTCATGAATGAAGGTGTAGGACAAAGATATGGGTTAGGTGCTAGGATAGACTTCAGACTTCACCTCTGATCTTAGCAAGGCTCTCTTTGATCCCAAGTGCACTGAGAAGGGTAAGCATTCTAACACTGGTTAGCTTCACTGGGATTTGTGTAAATGCAACATAATAATAAGGTTTCACCATGTACAAGATGAAAGCACTAAGAAGATTTTTTAAAATTCAACTCATTTGGCCTATGGAGTTCCCTCCTTTCCCTCTCATTCCTAATCTCCTCATGCAGCATCTCCCAAACACATGCTGAGCCTACCTGAGGGAACCCATCATTTTCTTTTTCTTTTCTTTTTTTTTTTTTTGAGTTGGAGTCTCCCTCTGTCTCCCAGGCTGGAGTGCAGTGGCGTGCTCACAGCCACCCCAGTATTGACCTGCTGGCTCTGGTGATCCTTCCACCTCAGCCTTCCAAGTAGCCAGAACTACAGGTGCGCTACCACACCCAGCTAATTTTTTATTTATTGTACAGACAAAATCTTGCCAAATTACCCATGCTGGTCTCAAATCCACAGGCTCAGGCAATCCACTTGCCTTGGCCTCCTAAAGTGCTGGGAATACAGGTTGAGCCACCAAGCCCAGCCAAGCCCATCATTTTCAATGACGAAGTGTTAGGCTCAGGGAAGAACAAGCATCATCCAATTTTTGAAGGCAAGTTCTTAGGATAGAGATTTTTATTGGTCTGATTCTGGAAAGGACAGAAGGGCAAGCCAACAAATTCCCACAAATCAACATGCCTGCTCTATCACAGGAGATCCTACCCTTTCTAGTCAGGGAACTCCTCAATCAGGAAAAAGTTCATTTTAGATGAGGACAAGGTTTTGCCTCTGACCTTAACAAGGTTCTTTTCAGAGTCAACATACAGCAAAAGTTCATGCTGCCTAAATGAATGGTGAACGAATGAACGAGCACTAAGTGTTAAGTTGAAAGCAGAAAGACACAGCAGTCATTTCATCCAAAGAAAGGGGCCAGTCCAAAGTGAAAATCTTCAAAGGATTTAACTGAAAACCAGTAACAGCGCTCTCGAATCCCTTATTCACATTCAGGTCTCAAAGGATCAGAGTATGTGGCGATTGGGAGAGGATACTTCTTTGGAGAGAACTATGCAATGATTCCTACCCTACCTACCTTAGCTCACAAGAGAGGCTGACAGGACTGAAGAGATTGGATAGGTTTCTGATCCACACATGGAAAATCTTCAGTGTCCAAGAGAAATTCACCTGCTTCAAAAATGGAAACGGAGGAAGAGTTACTGCTAAGTTGTGATCAGCCTGGATGCTGGAGTATATTTGCATACAGATGTGTGTTTCCTAGTTTCCTATGGACCAGATGTGGACAACTCAAAACAGAGGAAAGTTAAACAGTCTTAGAGTCTGTGTTAGAGCATAGATTAGAAGGACAAAGAGAAGTTAATTCCCTGATGGAGAAGCAACAAACCACAGGCAAGTACACCACCTTCATTAAGAGACTTGCAGGAGAGGGGGTCCCCAGAGATGACCCAGCAATGAAATGAGGATAGGAGAGAATCTTCAAAGGGCACCTCTTTTAGCATGCTAGGGCTGCCACAGCAAAGTGCCACAGGTTGGGTAGCTTAAACAACAGAAAATAAAGCCCAAGATCAACGTGTCAATGGGGATGGTTTCATTCTGAGGTCTTTCTCCTTGGCCTGTAGATGGCCATCTTCTCCCTGTGATTTCAAGTAATCCTCTTCTGGTGTCTATGTCCTAATCTCTTTTTCTCATGAGGAGACCAGTCATATTGGATTAGGGTTCACCCACATGACTTTGTTTTACCTTAATTACTTCTTTTAAGGTCCTGTCTCCAAATACAGTCACATTCTGAGGTACTAGAGGTTAGGACTTCAACACAGGAATTTGGGGAGGAGACACAATTCAGTCCATAACACTCCCAGGAAAAGCTCAAGAGCAAGAGACAGTTCAAACAAACACCCGTCAGATTCAGAACACAGCACTACCTTGCTATTGCTGTTATAGTACCAATCAATTAAGAACTTTCTTACTCCCTCACCTTTCATCTTCCCCTATACTACCCCCATTTTTTTTTTTTTTTTTTTTTTTTAAGTTGGAGTCTCACTCTGTCGCCCAGACTGGAGTGCAGTGGCCGCTCCCGGCCACCACAGCCTCAACCTGCTGGGCTCTGGCTATCCTTCCACCTCAGCCTTCCAAGTAGCTGGAACTACAGGCGCGCGCTACCATGCCCAGGTAATTTTTTTTTTTTTTTTTTTGATTTATTGTAGAGATGAGGTCTCGCCAAGTTGCCCAGGCAGGTCTCGAACCCACGGGCTCAGGCAATCCACTTACCTCAGCCTCCCAAGGCGACTACCCCCATTTTTACCACAGAAGGACCACAAGCTGTGATAGGAAGATGGAGGAGGCAGGATAGCAGGCTGAAATAGGGAGAGAAAATGGAATGATCATTAACTTTAAATCAAAATTCAACATTTTAATGTTATTTGAAATTGGGTATCCTAAATTCTGAAATGGGAGTATTCAGCAGTTGAAATTGACTACAGAACTTTTTTTTAATCTGAAAAAAATCAGAAAAGTCATAGATTTCATCCAGTGGCAAAGGCTTACCATCCTCACTAAATAACTTTCCGACAGTGGGACACAAAACAAAGTTCCTTTATAATTACATCTCATAAGTCTTATTTATTCAGCAAACTAGATATGTATGACTGAATGAATGAACAAGTAAATTTTATTAAGCATAAATTATAAGCTGTGTGCTTTCATACATCTCTTTTATGAATTAATTAAGATGCAGGTTTCTTAAGAGGTTGCCCAGGCTGGGTTCGATGGCTCAGCCTGTAATCCCAGCACTTTGGGAGGCCAAGGCGAGTGGATTGCCTGAGCCTGTGGGTTCAATACCAGCCTGGGCAACTTGGCAAAAACTCATCTCTACAATAAATAAACAAATAAACTAGTCAGACGTGGTAGCACACACTTGTAGTTCTGGCTACTTGGAAGACTGAGGTGAAAGATTGCTGGTGCCTAGCAAGTCAACGCTGGGGTGGCTGTGAGCGTGCTGCTGCACTCTAGCCTGGGTGACAGAGTGAGACTCCAAATTTAAAAAAAATAAGTTGCCCAGATGACAACACAGGGGAAAAAAACCAACATCACAGTAGTTTCGCTGGTAATGATTCTTTTTTAAAATACTCTAATGTCTCACATTTTTTCAAAGAAAATAAATGAGCACATTCATTGTAAACCATAAATGTCAGATACTGTATCATAATAATCATGCAGCAAAATCTTCTTGAGACCCTTCATCTCCTATATTCACCACTTGCCTTTATCCAGGGGATGACATTTTTCTTGAGAACTGAATATATCATTCTACTTTGAGAATAAAACCTGCCACCAACCAGGACTGATCTTGGTCCATGAATCAGCCAGAGCCAGTGGCACTGATAAAAAAATTGGCTGTGGCTCTGGTAACATTACTATCTGGTCTGTCAAATCTGCTACTCACATGCTCCAATAAGCATACCAAAGAAAAGTCCCAAGGTTACCTCTTGCCCTAAATCCATCCAATTTAAAAAGCATGGCTTAATCAAAACAAGCTACCTCTGGAATATAAAAATAATTCCAGGACTAAGAAACTCTATATGATTCTCTCTTGTATTGAGGTTATTTGAAAGATGATCTCAAAAATGCCCTCCTTGTTCTATGTTTCTTATCTTTTGGTGTTATTTTCAATATCACCTTCTAAACAACAACTGTGTTCACCTCTCAAAAGAAAAATTGCCCTGTACACGCCTAGAAGTCAACCCTAAGTGGTGTGGCGTACATGCCTACGTGTGGGTAAGCCCCTTAGCTTGCTTCTCCAAAGTTCATTCCTTGGGTGTCACCCATTCTGAAACCCAAAAAAGCCCATCAAGTTTAAAAATGCAAGTCCAATCCTCAAACATTATTGGTGAAAGTGTAAAGCCGTATAGTCATTGTGAAATGCAGTTTGGCAGTTTCTTAAAAAGTTACATATTAATTTACCATATGACCCAGCAATGCCATTCCTACTGTATGAGAGAAATAAAAACATATGTCCACATAAACACTTGTACATAAATGCTTATAGCAGCATTTATAGTATTTATAATAGTAGAAAAAAGTAAAATAACTGAAATGTCTGTCAACTAGGTCAACAAACTGGCATTTCCATATGATGGATTCCAGCAATAAAAATAAATGAAATGCTGATCCATGGTGTAGCATGGATGAAGCTCAAAAATATACAATGTAAAAGGCAGATACAAAAGACACACATGGTAGGGTTCCATTTCTATAACATGTCTAGAAAGAGCAAATTTATAAAGACAAAGCGTAGACCAGTTGGTTGTCTAAGGCTGGGAATGGTAATAGGAAGTGATTGCAAATGGCATGAAAGATCTTTGTAGGGAGAGGGAAATGTTCTAAAACTAGACTGAGGTGATGGCTGCATAACCTGTAAATTTACTAAAAGATCACTGACTTGTATACTAAAATAGGTGAATTTTATAGAATGCAAATTATACCCCCATGATGTTTTTTAAAAGATCAAATGTAAAAGGTTAAAAAGGAGGTTCATATACAAAGTACTTGTGAAAAAATCTTTAGCAGGAATGAGAGGATACGTTCTACTCATGGTTGTATTTAATCCCTGTTGTCACTCTATAAAGACTTAATTGCTAAAAGTTGGCTTACCACACATTTTATTGGTTCTTTGACTCAGTGTCAAAATGGACTCCCACATTCTAAAATGTTGGAAATGTAATTTGCAATTATCACAGTGCTTCCATTTAGCCTGGTAAATCTCTTTTCCCAGGTATGCAGTGTCTTAAATACTACTCAGAGTAAGGGACACATAAGTAAATTAAAAAATAAATAGATTCTGCAAACCCTAATGCCCTAGGAACAGGAGTAAAGGAGTAGATGAAAAGTCTCAAAATTATTTCTGCTGCCCCAACTATCGTGTTTGGACATCATTCAAGCATCATGCATTAAAAAAAAAAAAAGGTTTTCTAGCCAGGTATGGTGGCTCACACCTATAATCCTAGCACTTTGGGAGGCCAAGGCAGGAGGATCATTTAAAGCCAAGAGTTTGAGACCAGTCTGGGAACATAGTGGAAGCTTGTCTCTACAGAAAAAATTATTTTAAGTAACTGGGCATGGTAGTGCCTGCCTATAGTCCCAGCTACTTGGGAGGCTGAGGTGAGACGATTGCCTAAGCCTAGGAATTCCAGGTAATCCTCTCACTGAGGCTGTGGGTGATCTCTCATCATGCCACTACACTCCAGCCTAGGTAGCAGATCGAGATTCTGTCTCTCAAAAAAAATCCAGAACGTTTCTTGTCTCTAGTCCAGCGGAGGGGGGTACTTGCTGCTTGCTCACTCGATGGCAGGCCTCTCCATTTCCTTTAGCATAACACTGTCACCTGGTACTGCTGTAGTGGATCTGTGATGTTGGGTTTGCTCAATAA